AACCTCTTTTCTGTGCCGCACAATTTCACAGCAAATCCCTACTCTACAAAATATATCTTTCGTGCTCACAAACAGTGGTTCACATACATATTTCTGGCTCGACACTTGGTTGGTCCCTCAACCCCTTGCCATCACCTTCCCCACCTATTTTCACACTCCACCTTAGAGCTGGTTAAAGTGGCTAACATTTTCCGTTACGGTATTCAAGCTAACCTCCGTAATCGCCTCTCCCTCACGGCAGAACAAGAACTTGTGTGGCTTGTGGCTGTTTTGCAGGATTTTATGCCATCGGCGGGGGAAGACCAACGGTTCCTACGACATGGCATTGCCTTCTCCACAAAGCATGCATACGGTGCCCTCATGGCTCGGCCAGACAACGATCTCATTGCTCCCTTCATATGGAATGCTAAAGTTCCTCGAAAGCTCAAAGTATTTGCATGGCTACTCTTCAAAGACCGTCTCAACACTAAGGTCAACCTTGCACGCAAGCATATCGTCGATTCAGATATATGCCCTCGGTGTGCTAGGCTACCCGAAGACTCCAACCACCTCTTCATCACGTGTCCTCTTGTCAATAGAATTTGGCAACGCCTTGGGCTCCTGCCTCCAACCACCGAAATCTCAGACCTATGGGACGCTGCTACTCCTCCTCGCCTCCCGACCACAGCTTGGCCTTTGGTTCTCGTGGCCTTACTATGGATGATTTGGGCAACACGTAACGACATGGTATTTAGATCGGTCGATCAAAACTCTGTAATAACCCATAGGAACCTCATTACTGCTTTGGATCTCTGGTCTCATCGTCTTGTGCATTCACAAGACAAGGAGGACGCCTTCTTGTGGCCCTCCTACCTCTCTACACGTTGCACCGTGCCTATGTAATTCTGTACTCACTGCCACGACAGGCCTTTGAGCAATATATTCAGGTGGGGGAGCTCCCCCCCGGTGATTCTAAAAAAAAAATCAAAATATGCGCTAGAGGAAGCAAAGAAAGATAAGAAAAGGTACTGTAGCAAAAGATTTCCCATGAAGGTGCCAGTACATGAAGGTTCCAGCAAGTTGGTTCCATAATGCTAGTTAGCTCGGCACGTCAGCTAATGTTGATATGCATTTCTTCTCCAACTTAAAACTGAAGCGGATTATTGTGATATTCTCAAATCTTACAGTTTTCCTTTCTTAAAAGGGCAGCCGGTGCTCCGGCCCAAATTTGGGCCGTTCCGCCCGCAGCCGTGCGATCCAGCGTACAGAAGCCATCCGATTTTATGCCCCATGTCATTATCTTCTTCTCCACACGCCCCTATCCCTAAAGCGTACATCAGTCGTACAACACGGGCGTCGCTCCCTGCAGCAGCTTGTCACAGAAACCCAAAAAAGGTGTCGCTCATGGCGCCCTCGCTCACGACGGCAGAGCCGCCCGTCGTCTCTAGCGATGGTGCTCGCTGAAGAACCTCCCCTCTTCGTGTTGAAGG